TTCCCTCCTGTCTTATAATTATACCAACTTTTATATGTATTTCCATTGACAAATGGAAAGTGATCAGATTTGCTGGGCCTAATGTTTGACACCCATGTCACTGGATAAAGTGTGGTAGGGAGGAGTAATTAAGAAGATAAGTGGACTGGGGCTGGGGCTCAGTGGTAGTGTACTTTTCTGACATGAGTGAGATTCTGGATTCAAGTCTCAGCACCGCATATAAATAAATAATATAAAGGTCTATCAAAAACTAAAAAGAAATTTTAAAAAAAGAAGTGATTTTAGGGGGAAAACTAGTATGTACAGAATTCAACATATTTTGGTTCTCTCCCATCTAAAATTAAGTTTAGGAAATCAAACTGGTAGAATAAGTTAAAGGATACAGAACTCTCTACTTTCACAAATATACTAGTCATATTTTTGTATCATGTCTAGAGATTTTCCTCAAATATTCTTCTATTTAGAAGGGTCTAATATAATACACAAGGTATATAGACTACTGGATAGTAAATTATAACCACTTACTTACTTACTTTGACTAAATTTCATTTTTATTTATTTAATGGATCAAAGGGATTTCCTTACCAACAAGGTTATTGATTTAGAAAACATTCAAAGACAACTACAACCAAATGAATTTGTTTTTCATTTTTAGGGTCCTGAGCCCTTTCCCTCCTCCTCAGCACCCCTCCATTGTTGCTCATGCTTCACACACTCTAGTTCAGGGAGACACATAGAAGAATAATCAATCTCATCTGCTAAGAAAGAAGAGAGGAGAAAGAAGTTAAGGAAACATTCATCTTGAACTAAGTGATGTGTGAAGGTAATGAAGAACAAACATTTTCTTAACCATCAACCAGTGAACTGAGAGTTGCAACAGAAATTTATCACCAGTTTTAATATTTAAAAAAGAGAATTTTATAACTTTGCAATTCTACTGCAAAATCTCCAGATTATATGTGTGGTTGCCTTCTATTTATTTTAATGGGGCTTGTTTATGTCCAGATACCTTTAGGGTTCTAATCCACAAATTATTCCAACTCTAATACTTCTGATTTAAAAGTGATTTTAGGTTAATTAGGAATTGGAGAAGGTCTTAGATCAGGGAAAGCCTCCAGGTCCTTATACTTGCTGTTCTCTTTGCTTGAACTCGCATTCCTTACTTTCTGCACCTTTTCACCTAGTTAAATTCTACCCACCCTTAGATCTTGGCTTAAATATAACTTCATCTAGGAGGCTTTTCCTAACCTCTGGTATCAGATTGGGTTACCCTGTTGACTCATCCCATGTATCCTGTGTTTTCCTACCATTATGCTTATTGCATTTTCTTGTGATTATTTGCTTAACTGAGTTGCCAGCTAGACTGTATGCTCTGTGACAGCAGGAACAGTGTCTATTTCATAACCAGTGCCCTGGAACTAACAGATGCTTAATAAATATTTGTTGAATTAATAAAGTAAAAGTAAAATATTAAAGAAAATTATAAAAACTTAAATAGAGCTTGTGAACTCAAGAGGAGAATAAAAGCATTTTTACCTGAGCATTCGGTGGAGTTTGTGAGGTGTCATTCCACATCCATCATCAGTAAAGGTCAAACAAGATTTATTCTTGACCTCCTCAACATCTATAAAGACCGTCCTGGCGGATACATCTGGATCTACAGCATTATCTGCAAAAGGTAGAAATCTGTGATCTTAGATCCCCTTTTCCAATAGTCTATCAAAATTTCTAATTTAGTGTCCCCAGTACATGGAAAACTGTCCTACAGTACCCTCATATGGATGTCTCAGAAGTTAAACAGGGGACATTAATATAATATACCTGAGTTATAGATAAAAACACATGTGATGCCAGTTTGAGTTATAAAGCTGATTTCTAGCTGCTTCTTCTTCTTCTTCTTCTTTTTTTTTTTTTGGCACTAGAGACTTAACCTAGGGGTGCTTAACCACCGAGCAACATTCCCAGCTATTTTTTATTTGAGACAGGATCTTGCTAAATTGCTCATTAAGTTGCTGAGGCTAGTCTCAACCTTCCAATCCTCCTGTCTCAGCCTCTTGAGTTGCTGGGATTACAGGCATGTGACACATGCCCAGCTGATTTCTAGATTTCATGGTTGATCTGTAGTCTGCCTTTCTCCCTATTAACTTCAGGGTATAAAAGAAAAGTAACTACTCCAATTTTATTCTGATATCACTGTATTATTTCCTGTCTTTTAGCTACTTTACTGCTTATGAATGCATACAGTAAAGGTTGGCTACAGAGAAAAACTGAACCAACAATTTGGTAAAAATAAATACATATCACACATACTACAGTTTATATATGACAATTTTATTTTCTACTTTTTAAAATATTACTTCATGTGTTAAAGAACATAGATATTATCACCATCCCTGTTTATAGTACAAGTGCTACTGAAAGAATTACAGGTTAAAATCCTGCCTAAATCCCAGTGATGATAGCAAGCATGCTTAGAGCAAAAAAGCAATTTGGCTGCCTTTCTCTATACTAATCTTCAAGGTGAGGCTGTCTATTCTCTCATGAAAGGGAGAGCACCAAATAAAATTGGAAAAACAGGGCTAGGGTTGTAGCTCGGTTGGCAGAGTGTTTGCCTTGCATGTGTGAGGCACTGGGTTTGATACTCAGCACCACATAAAAATAAATAAAATAAAGGTGTTGTGTCCAACTACAACTAAAAAAGTGGAAAATGTACATATAAAGTTCAACAATTTGTCCTGAGTTACATCTTTATGATGAGTTAATTATTTAAAACTCCAAAGACATCAAATTTATCCATATTCTAAAATATGCACCATGTCCCCACTCTAGAGGGTGCTATTGTCTAGTTGCCACATTGATTTTTCTTTACTTTTCTTTTTTTTGTCACAAGTACCAGTCCAGTTTCTACTATTGTCAGCTTGGGGATATAGCTCAGTTGGTAGAGTGCTTGCCTTGCATGCATAAGGCCCTGGATTCAATCTCCAGCACCATCAAAAAAAATTAGTATCTACTATTGTCAATCACTGATATAAGTGGCTCAATACAAGGACAGTCTGTAAAATCTGTTGGATAGTGCTATTGTTTAGATATAGTTTGTCTCCCAAAATTTCATATGCTGGAAGCTTGGTCCCCATTGTGGTGGTGTTGAAGTGGTGGAACCTTTAAGAGGTGGGGCCTAGTGCAAGGTAATTGTGTCATTGGGGATGCTATCCTTGGAAGGGATTCATGCTGTCAGGTCTGACAGAACTGGATTAGCTCCTGCTAGTGTAGGTTGTTTTAAAGTGAGGTCACCCCACATGCTTGGCCTCTTCTGCACATGGCTAGTTCCCTTTTGGCTTCTCCACCATGTTGTGATGTAGCCTGAGGACCCTTACCAGGATGCCAACACCATGCCATTTGAACCTTTTAGCCAGTGGAATTGTGAATCAAATAAACATCTTTATTGACAAACACCCAGCCTTGGGTATTTTGTTATAGCAACATGAATGGACTAGTACAGATAAAATCCTTAATCATTCCTATCTCTACTAGCTCTTCTTTAAGCAAGATAAAGATCTTTCCTTCAAACTACTTCCTTTGCCTTGACATCGTATATTGCTTTACTGATGATATAAGGCTGCACTCAGAGAGTCAGATAGGTTCTTGGTTGTATACTTTCCCATTATCACTGATAAATCATATTTCTCCACTGGGAGCATCTCTTATAATCAAGAAAATTATTCCACATATTCCAAATTTTTATAATACAATTGAAAGTATCAGTTACAATCACTTTGATTATGGAATGTCCTCCAAATAAAACAAGACATAGATTAATTTCAAAAACTACAATAGTATTTCCAGAGTCACTGATAAAATTTTCACTGACTGAAAACATCTGAACAGCAGTAAGTCATCATCAATAATCCCAAAAGTTGGTTAAGAGGTCTGATACAGTCGATTTTTAAAGCCCAGGTAGCACCTAAATTCCATATAATGTGGCTAACATCAAGCAAGAGTTACAAGTTGGCATGCAACGGAACCTTTCTCAGAAATATTGTTCTTTACTTTTAAGAGGCAGCAGTATTTTTTTCTTTAACTGACAGAAGGATTCAGCCCTGCATAGTTGCATAGCTGCCTACATTCTTTAAAGAAATTTTACTTGGCATGCAGGCTCTTATCAGTCACTCCTATTGATGGATAGCCAAAGACACTGAGACTGATAACTTGTTGACCAACCAGATGTCATTTACACATAGAAAACTTCAGACATTGTGAAATTATTTTCTAACAGTTTATGAATATTTACAATTCAAACATATAGCATATGGATCCAATTACACATTTTTACAACAGTGTATTGAATAAAACAGGGTCTCTAGAAAAATCACGTGAGCCTCTTTTTTCCCTCTCTTCTGTAAGGGTTTTTTTTGTTTTGGTTTGGTTTTTCTACTGGAAATTGAACCCAAGGGCACTTTACCACTGAGTTACATACTCAGCCCTTTTTATATTTTGTTTTGAAACAGGGTCTCACTAAATTCTTGAGGCTAGCCTCAAACTTGCCATCCTCCTGCCTCAGCCTCCCAAGTTGCTGCGACTACGGGCATGCAGAACCACGCCTAGCTCTCTACTATAAAATTTTCCCAAATTTTACTAGTTTTTTTCAATAGGAATATACCAAAGAATTTTAACATAGGCACTTAAAGAGTTCACGGTAGCTGATAAGTGCAGGTAGACATTTTACCTCCTTGGTTGGAAGCTTGTGGAATATAGGGGGGGAGGGAGAACATGAGAGGCCAGGATCAGTTGGATCAACAGGGAAAGTATGATCAATGGGTGGCCACCCACAAGCACAGTTTTGCACTTACTTTCCATTTTATGTGGCCTTTTGCTTGGCTTCAACAAATAAAATTATAATAACAAGGTTGGCCTCAACAGATGAACTTATACTAATAAGGCACAAGCTAGCAACTGGTTTCAATTCTATTTCTTGCTGCTTAACCTTCTAAAAACTGTTCAACATGTAGCATATGCTATCAAATTCCAGGAGATCTATCTTCTCCCACGGCCCAGCCCACTTAGCCTTTGAACAGGTAGGATAATGAGAGATCCCTTACTTCTCTTTCCTCAACTAATACTTAGGTAAAAAGAGATGCACTATCAGATCCTGGAGTGTCTTTATCCCCTATCCTGGCTGCACAACCCTATCTGCTTCCAGATTCCACGGAGTCTCACCTGGCCTGTGTTATCTCTTATAAGGAAAATCCTATTGATATTCCCCCTTCATGCACCCCTTCGGCAAGAGCATGAGGATCATGAGGAATCTATCTTACACCCTAATGTGGTCCACTCAATCATTTGTCTTCTAAAAAGGCATTGCAACTGAAGCCTCATGCCTCACCAGAACCTGGAAGGCAATGAAAAACTGTTCAATGATAGTCCCTCAGGAGAGAGAAGATGGTGGGTAAGAGATAGCTTTAAGGTAGCACTTCACATGCCTGCTATCCTTTCCTGTTCAGGAACATGTAAGGTCACCAGGGCAGGGTTGTTGCTCTACAGACATTCTGCAAGTAGGTAAAATTTTCTTGCCTGAAAGTAACATCATTACCTTCTGTCACAAGCCTATTCTTTATCTCTCTCTGTCTCTCTCTGTCTCTCTCTCTCTCTCACACACACACACACACACACACATACACACAGAGAGATGGAGGGAAGAAAGGAGGGGAGAGAGAAAGAAAGAGACAGATAAAGAGAGAGGGAATATCAGCATTCAAATGACCATAAATTTGAAACTCAAAAGTAATTTTTTGGGCTGGGGCAGTAGCTCATGCCAGGCAGTGGTGAAACATTTCCTATCATGCTCAAGACCCTTAGTTCAATTCCTAGCATAGCAAAAACAAAAATCATTTTTAAAACCTCTCCCTCTTGATGCTCAACACAACCCTAGATTCTCTTATATCTTGCTTTTTCTATTCCCATTGTCCTTTTATTTGCAGAGTTTGATCCCTCTCATCTGAATTATTGAAACAGCTTCCCAACTTATCTTTCAAATCCATATCTCTCTTCTTTAATACATCTTATATGCTGCTGCAATGCTAACTTTCTTGAAGCACAACTCTGATCATGACATTATTCTGGTCAGAAAACTTCAGATGAACAGGCCAAATACCAGAGCCTTCAGGTCTGAATCCTGGTCCCAGTTCACATTTCTATCCTCACTTGCTACTTGGTACTTGGAGTAAAAAGACCTGTGTTTGAGTCCTGGATTTGCCACTTACTAGACATGAAACCTTTGAAAAGTAAATTAATTCTCTGATCTTCTGTTTCTTCATCTGCAGGATGAAAAAAATTAATATTGCTTACCTCAAAGGGTGAAGTTAAGAAGGTATTTGTGAAAGCTCTTTGTAAACACTCTAGGGACCTATAGTTTTTACTATACATGAACTCCATGCTCTAATTAAATGCAACAACTCAATATTCTTCATGCTTTTGTTCATCCAGTTGTTTATTTTKCCTGGAATGCCCTCCATGTTACCATGTCCATATGTCCCAATCCTTCAAATCTCAGCTCAAATGTCACCTCCTCCACAAAGCCTTTCCTAACTCTCCTCTTCCTGATAAGCTGGAAGTCATTTCTCCTTCCTCTGAACTCCCACAGCACTTGTGCGTATCTTTGTTGATATATTATTTTCTATGTTGTTGTACAAAGATTAAGCCTGCAGTATATTTCTTATCTTCCCTATTTGAAGGGTGAATCTGTATTGTTCATTTCTGTACCTACCACAGTGGTCTTATACACAATAGATGCTTATACACAATATATGATTAACTAGCAAATTAATGCATAATAGAATTAACTACTGAAGGAAAACCGAAAATGAAAACTTTAGACAAGCCATTAATATTTTGATCTCCCTATTCTCTATTTTCAAAAACATTTGTTATTTACTTTTAGAATATGTTTTTATATATCTGGAAGCATGCATATATGTGTGTATAATATTCATACATATCCACACCCATGTTAGACATCTTAGGCCAAGATATGGTTCTTTAGGTTAACGCTTAAGACAATAATTGAAAACTCATTAAGTCACCTTTAAAATACAGTACATACAATACAACACAGGTACAACACGGTGCAACTGTGAAAGAACATGACATTTCTCACATTTCTCCCACCTCCCACTATGTTAATTGTTAATTTTACCTTTTTTTGTTTTGTTTTAGTAAGTTACATGCATACAAATCTTATTCCATGCTACAGCCATTCACTGGAGGCATAGTGTAAAACCTAAAGGATACAGGCCCTGTTATCTAGGATTCCAAATGTGTCAATGCCACTTTTTTTCCTCTGAATATTCTAATAAAGACATATTTTATAAACACACACATATATATAGGGAGAGAGAGAACGTGCGTGTAAGTATTCAGTGTTGTAGTCAAATTAATCATAAAAATTTTCCATCATCTTCCAAATAACTCTCCTGACACTTCTCCTGCGGCCCACCAACTTCTAGATCAAGACATCTTTCATGGCATAGCCACAGTAAGAGCTTAAATGAGGACTAGTGCTCATTCACAGAGCTTTGAAATCATGTTCGATTTTGTCCTGTGTTACCTAGCCCCATAAATCTCTCAAACTTCTTTCAGTTTTTGAAGTGTTTATAATGTACTCTGTATGTGGTTGCATTTTATGCAGGACTGCTTTTCTTCTTTGCCTTCCACACAGTATTTAGCATACTACTGCAAAAGCTGATGTACTTGGCTTCAAGGGATCAACTGAAAACGCTTTAAAAGCAAACACCGGTGGAGCGAGAGGTTAAGTCCTCAATATTCATTCCAGCGGTGTGAGGGCGCTCGTGGACCATGGACCCAGCCCTCTTGCAGCCTCAGGGAGCCAAATGCACTCGTGTCATCTCTTAAGAGATGTCCCATCATTCCTAGACTTTCTAAGCCCAAAAGTTAAAGAATTCTGTTTTCCAGACCTTTCCTAACGACCCTACCAAGTCCAGTACCAGGCCCCTTTGCTAACTTGGAGCCCTCCGTGGGTCGCCAGGCGTTGTTGAGCCCGGCTGCCTTGGGGCCCGATATTTTTATGTATCTCCTTTTGATTATTAACTAAGCTACCCTAAAGTGCCTGGAACATCACGAACCAAAGAGGAAAAACCACACGTGAGTCCTGACTCTTTGGATTCACCTCGTTTCCTTTGCTTTATTCACGCAACCGCGTCCCCGGTGAGGGAGCCACCCTCCTCAGCCAGCGGAGCCGGGGCCGTCCAGAGGCCCCCACCCCAGCCCCGGCCCACCCCGTGCAGCTCCGCGCATTCCTCTCGAGTCCGCAGCACCACGCTGGCACCACTGCCTCGGGCTATCGCGGCCAGGCCCGCCCTCGCCACTCACCTAGCAGCTCCGCGATGGCACTGAAGGGTCGCGTGTGGCTGCTGGAGTTGCTCTGTAGGTAGCGGGGGCTCATCTGGGGGCGAGAGAAGGTCCCGTCCCGCGTGAGGCCTCGGCCCGCCAGGCCCTCCCCGCGCGCCCCCCTCAGCCCTGGGGCCCGCGCACGCGTCCGCCCCCTCGGGCCCCTGACCTACCGTACTCAGGCGGATCCCGAAGGCCTGCGGGCTACTGCCCTGCCGGGCCAGCCCGCCGACTGGCGAGCCAGGGCCCGCGGGGGCCCCTCGGTACAGGAGCATTTTTTTGGCCGCCACGATATTCGTTTGCTGCCGCCGGACTCCTCGCCCCGGCCGTCCCGGACTAGCCCTCACTCACTCCCAGTCGCAGCTGGCGGCGGCCGTCCGGGACTGGCTCTCCTCCGCTCCCAACTCGCAGCTGGCGGAGGCGGGGCGCACTCCAGCCACCTGTCCCCAGCGGGAGGGGTGAGGCCGGCTGAGCCGAGCCACGGCCCCGCCCTGTCAGCACCTCTACCGATCCACGGACTGCCAGAGCTGCCTCAGGGCCGTACAGAAATATGGCGACCTCCTGACAGCCGCTCCTTGATCCCCGCCCCTAATTAATTCTTGGCGTTTGCCATAGGCCAGGCCGCCGAGCGGGAAAGCGCGAGGTGGGGGGGTGGCGGGGGGATGGCGCGTGAGGAGGGGCGGGAATGAGGCTAGAGGAGGGAAGAGCGTGCATGGGATTTCTGGAACCGAGTCCCTCTAAGGCTGAATGACTAACGGGCAGGATAAGACAAGTTTTTCAAGTTCTAAAGAGTACAGTTTTGCTATAACTGGGAAGATAGGAGGCTTGCGTGAAGGGAAAGCATTTGGACTAGCTAACTCAAATGCCTCTGGAAGTGCCCAGAACTTTCTAGAATATGATTGGCAAACTGTCTAGAGAGACTGTAGGCCTGTAGGGAGGCTGTTTATGAAAGGAGAAATTGGACTTACTTAAATATGTTCCTGCCAAACAGTGGATTGGTTAAGTTATGGAGTATCCATGAAATAAAATGGTAGCAATTTTTAAAGCCATGTTTGTAGATTAATCTTTATTTTATTGGCACTTATAATTTTATGTATTTATGGGGCACATTTTTTAAAAATATTTTTTTAGTTATAGTTTGGCACAATATCCTTACTCCATTTGTTTATTTTTATGTGGTGCTGAGGATCGAACCCAGCGCCTCGAACGTGCTAGGTGAGTGCTCTACCGCTGAGCCACAACCCCAGCCCCTATGGGGCACATTTTGATGTTTGCATACTCTAAAGTATTGATTAATATTCAAGCAGCCATCTTAAATGTTAACCACCTTCTTATGAGATAAGTTTCCCTTTCCTGTACTTCTTGTTATTGAACTCTCCCAACCCCCATTAGTGACCTACCCCATGGTACTATAACCCTAAGCCAATCCCAGAAGGACAGGACCCCTTGGCTCTGGAAAACTCCATGGTACCATGACCTAACTCAATCCCATGCTATTCCACACTCGCCTAGCTCTGACACACACACCACCCCACCTCCAGCCTGTCCCATAGCACCACAACTACAACTCCAAACCCCTACCCCACAAAAGCTGAACACCCAAACATCTTAGGGCTTCTATTCTCTCTATAGAGACATGGCCTTTATTTGTCAGCTTTGACAAGTAAACTTTCGTGTGGGTCTCTGACCTTCATTTCTCATTTGCCTCTCTCTTTTTCACTTTCCCTTCACATACATGTATGCATTGTATATTGATGAAGTGACAATAGTTAGCGTATCCATCACCTCGTGTATTTATCTTTCTTTGAAATGAAAACGTTCAAAAACCTCTCTTATAGCTATTTCAAAATGTGTAGGACCATCCAGTAGTACTTAACTCTGTATCCATTGATCACCTGCTCCTGACCCTTAGCTTTCCAAAGTTCTTCTCACCTCTGGTAACCACTGTTCTACTCTCTACTTCTATCAGATAACTCTTAGTGTAGACTACGAATATGAGTAGAATCATATGGTGTTTTTTTTTCTGCAACTGCCTTATTTCACTCAACATAATGTCCTTCAGTTTCATCCATGTCATGTCTCAAATGATGGAATTTCATTACTTTTTTATGGCTGAATAGTATTCCCGTTCTTTATGTAGTCATCCATTGTTGGATGTTTAGGTTGATTTAAAGTCTCCAAGATTGTGAATTGTGCTGGGATAAACATGGGAATGCAGATGTCTCTTCATTGTACTGATTTGATTTCCTTTGGATATAAACCCCATACTAGAATTACTGGATCATATGATCGTTCTATTTTTAACTTTTTGGGGAACCTCCAACTGTTTTCCATAATGGCCGTACTAATTCACATCCCCACCAACAATGTGTGGTGGGTGTTCCTTTCCTCCACATCCACACCAGTACTGGTTTTCTTTGTCTTTTTTATAATCATCATTCTAACAGGAGTGAGGGGATATTTCATTGTGGTTTTGATTTGCATTCCCCTGATAACAAATGATTTTGAGCATTTTCATATACTTGTTGGTATTTTGTATGTCTTCTTTTGAGAAATGTCTAAGGTCTTTTGCCCATTTTAATTTGGTTATTTTATGTATTAATTTTTTGCTGTTGCATTACATGTCTCATGTATTTTGAATGTTAGTTCTAGGTGACTGTTTATTGATGTAAAATGAATTTATGAGGGAGTTAAGAAAACAAAAGGTTGCAACATACATTGTAATGCGCCATGCATGGTGGCACTCATCCATAATCCCAGTGACTCAGGAGGCTGGAGCATGAAAATGGCAAGTTCAAAGCCAGCCTCAGAACTTAGTGAGGCCCTGAACAACTTAGAAATATCCTGTCTCAAAATAAAAAATAAAAGGGGTGAGGATGTGGCTCAGTGATTAAGATGTCCTAGATTCAATCCCTGGTACCAAAACAAAATAAAACAAATGACATGATGTGTAATGTGATATATTTTTATTGGAAGACCAAATATATGTATGCATATGTTACGGTGTTTCTAGAATGTCCCCTAAAAGCTCACATGTTGAAGTCTTGTTCTGCAGTGCAGCAATATCCAGACATAGGACTTTGGGGAAGTGATTGGATTATGAGGCTTTGGCCTTATCAGTGACTTGATAGCTGAATGGGCTATTGGAGATGGTGGAAACGATAAGCTAGGTGGGGTTTGGTTGAAGGAAATAAGCCACTGGTGATGTGCCCTTTGGGATTATGTTGTCCTTGGCCACTTCCTCCCTGTCTCCGCTCCTCCCCATTGTCTACTTTCTGGCTAACATAAGCTGATCGGCTTTCCTCTGCCACACCATTCCATCTTGATGTTCAGCCTCATTCAGGCCCAAACAAATGGAGCCAGCCAACCATGGACCTCTAAAACTGTGAGCCAAAATAAACTTTTCCTCTTCCAAGTTGTTTGTGCTAGATGGTCCCAGCACTAGATGGTCTCAGTATTTTGATCACAGTGATGAAAACCTAACACAGTGTGTGTGTGTGTGTGTGTATACATACACACGTATTTATACACACATACAAATATATTCATACAGATGCAGTCATCATTCAGTATTCCTAGGAGATTGGTTTCATCACCCTTGAAGATATCAAATTCTATGGATGCTTCATTCCATAAAATGTTGTAGTATTTGCATATAACCTACCCACATCTTTCCATATATTTAAATTGTCTCTGGATTACTTATAATACCTAATAAATGTAAATGCTGTATAAATCATTGTTATATTATATCGTTTAGGGAATAATGACTAGAAGGTTGTACATATTTAGTATAGACACAGTTTTTTCTGAATACTTTCAACCTACAGTTGATTGAATGTGTGGATGCAGAATTCACAGATACAGAAAGCCAGCTATATACACACACAATGAAAAACATTTAATATAAATCAAGTTGATATCTCTGAGTCTAGAATTTTCCCATTTTATCTGTATTTTGTACTATTATTCATGTATTTTGTTTTTTTCTAAATATTTATTTGTAGTTGGACACAATACCTTTATTTTATTTATTTATCTTTATGTGGTGCTGAGGATATAACCCAGGGCCTTGCATGTGCTAGGCACTCTACCACTGAGCCACAACCCCAGCCCCTATTATTCATGTATTTTGTTTTTTTCTAAATATTTATTTGTAGTTGGACACAATACCTTTATTTTATTTATTTATCTTTATGTGGTGCTGAGGATATAACCCAGGGCCTTGCATGTGCTAGGCACTCTACCACTGAGCCACAACCCCAGCCCCTATTATTCATGTATTTTGTAAAAATAAAATATTCCATGGCATGAATGGATCATAAATTTGTTTGACCATCCCTCTATAACAATTTAGGTTGTCTTCAACTTTTTTTTTTGACAGTTCAAAAAGTGCTGCCTCAAATACTCTCATGCACAGGTCACTAATTTCTGGTACTATTATTTCTTCAGAATAAATTCCAGAAAGTGAGATGGGTGCTTCTAAAAATATGCATGTGGTTTAATCTTTATAAATACTGTAAGGTGGAGGCAATTGCCTTCCCAGCAATAGCCGGCTGTTTGGCTATGTTCATGGAACTAATCTTTTAACTTTTTGTCAGTCTTTTGGATAGAAAATAGTATCGTCTTATTGTTTTAATTTGCATTTTCCTGATTAACACTGAATATCTTTTCAAATTTTATTGCCTGTTTATATCTCTTTTTTTGTGGTGCTGGGCATAAGAACCCAGGGCCTTATGCATGTGAGCTATATCCCCAGCCCACCTATTTGTATCTTTTGAGCACCATTTTCCCACTACGGGGTCGTTTGAATTTTTTTTTTTTTGGTGTGTGTGTGTGTGTGTGTGTGTGTGTGTGTGTGTGTACTGGGTATTGAACCCAGAGCACTTTGCCACAGAGCTATATCCCAAGCCCTTTTTATTTTTTTATTTTGAGTCAAGTTCTCACTAAGCTGCTTAGGGCCTCAACTTAGTTGCAGAGGCTGGCCTTAAACTTGCAATCCTCCTGCCTCAGTCTCCTGAGTCACTGGGAATATGTGTAGACCATCACACCTGGCTGCATTTATCTTTTTAAGTTACCTTTTCTTTAATTTTCAAAACTATTCAAAAGTACATAGAACAACATAATAAATCTTATATACTTATTGCTCTGATGCAGAAATTATCAAGACTGCCATGCTTGATGAACATTTTCATTCCTACAAAATTCATATGTTGAAATCCCAACCCCAATGTGATGGTATTAGCAGGTGGAGCCTTTGAGAGGTAATTAGATCATAAGGAAGGTGGCTAATGAATGAGATTAGTGCCTTTATAAATAGGACTGCAGAGAGCTCTCGAACCCTCTTTCCTCCACATGAAGACACAAGGAGAAGTCTTCCATCTATGCCTCATCAGAACCCAGCCATGTTAGTACTCTGATGTCTGACTCCCAGCCTCCAGAACTGTGAGAAATAAATTTCTATTTTCTAGAAGCCACCTAGTCTATGGCACTTTGTTACAG